ATTCTAATCTGAATGGAAAGTACCTTGGAAACAAGGTGTCGAGTAAAGGAATTGTTTGGTTAGGTAGTCAAAGTTTAAAGAAAGTAGAAATGAAAGTGCGTAGTAGTACATTTTAATGCATGACAATTACAATAAGAGCATAATTTTGTTCGCATTAATTTTATAAACGAGTTTGTTTTTCATAATATTGTTTGTGAAGTTTGTATTTGAGAGGAATAATATATTAGATGCAACTGCGTAGGAGTACTATTTTGTAAATTAATTACAACAAATGTTTGCTTCAGTGTTTTTCAACCGCCAGCGTGTTTAAGAGGACAGAGATGGGTCCGCCGTTATATATATATATTATTATATAGCTTGGATGTACAGCCTTTTGCAAAAATTATGAGAATTGTCTAAATATCTAAATATCATAATATCCATATCCATATATTGTCCGGAACACGTGGGTTTGCTAGAATAATTCATTGTTGACATCGAGAAAATGTTCAGAGCTACGGATAAGTCTGTCGCCAAAAAAAAACTAAACAACAAAGGCAAGACACTAAGGGCATCGCGCGGGATCATGCACTTGATATTATGATATTTAGATATTTCAGCAATTCTCATAATTTTTGCAAAAGGCTGTAACACACGATTTCATTGGCTAAAAAGCGGGCCATACTTTCCCGTACGGACCAGATGAAACGAGAAAAAACGTTTTTTATATTAAATAGGCTCGATTCTCTCTTTTTGTAGTTGTACTGTATAAAAAAGAGTAAAAAGTGAATCCAAATTTTGCCATCAAGGTTTCTCAGGCTTTTCTTTTTTCCTTCTATTTTGAATGACAAGAAAAGTACGAACAAATACGTATTTTTATGTCCGATTATCTATTAATTTTACTATTTTCACCTGAAAATGCTATATGATAAATATCTTATTAACCTCACTTGCTCGAGCCATACGGGAAGTTATGGAACCTTGTTATTTTCCACTTTTTATGGTCCTCGCGCTACGCACTCTGGCCGTAAGTCAGTGGAAAAAAAACTCGGTCCATAACTTCCCGTACGGCCCTCGCGCTCGGTTAATAAGATATTTTAATATTAAATTTTTTTTTTTCAATATTATGTACTTTGACTATTACAAATTTTTGCTTTATTATTAAAGAAATATTTGGTAATAACGTCCTTCGCCTTCATGATGTCTAGTATCAACATCATCATACTCATGATCATGTATTCGCCAATATTGAAAATTTCTAAACCTTACAATTTTCCGAACAGTTTCAATTCTTTTTAGAATTTGTCTTGATGCTAGCAGTAATACTTCCAGCTGTTGTTATACTGAGTCTAAAATCAATTTTTTTTTGCAAAGAAAAAGGAAAAAAATTAGAATCCTCTTTCAAAAAACAAAAACCTAGCTATTCTATGTAAGCCTAATCTCTTTTTTCAGGATAAAATTATTGCCGTCAATCTTCTTCATACCTTATGTACGTGTCTTAAGGCTTACTTCAAGTCACTCAAACGGTCTTGGCAAAAAATAAATCGTAACATAATAAAAAAAATACTATTTATTATCCTTTTTGCTCTATAAATGGAGATATTGTAAGACTTGATTTTAAAACCGAAGTATGGAAACGGATTGCGAATACCGAGATATTTTTGTTCACCTCATTTTTCCATGTGAAAACTGATGATTGCATTTGATGGGCCAATGTATTACTGTAAGCCAATGCTCWTCTTAACCAATATATAATCGCACAACATATATTTCAAAAAAGTTGTCGGATAAAATGGCGAATGCGGTCAATTGTTGAACGGCGATTGCACGGCCGGAAGTAGCCATGGGTTTTGCTAAAAAAAAGTAAATGACAACTGATTTATACTGTAAGAAAGTCTGTGGTAAGCATTGGCTCCATTTAGCCTTCGTTTCTATACAAGGTGTATCCCACAAGTGAAATTTTGTTTGTCAAAACAGTGTAACCATAACCCCTTTCGGTCGTGCAATCTCCCTTCGACAATCGCCGTTCGCCGTTCTCCACGACGTTTTTTTTTTTATTTATATAGGTGTATTCTTTGGGATTCGATGAATCGATAGTCAGGTTATTTGATCACAAGCGGAATAAGCACTGTTATGGGCACTGTAATAAGCACTGTTATGGGCACTGTAATAAGCACTGTTAGGACAGAGTAAAAATTAAAACCTTAATTCGTCAAACTTAATTATGTCAAAAATATCTTCTTGTAGTCAGCTTTCAGTTTTTAAAGTACAATTATTAATTAATTGGCAGATTGTAGTTCAATGTAAGCACTCGAAGGTATCAGATTCAAATTTAATAGTAATGATCATCAATGTTATAATTTAGTACAAGAGAAGTACTACAGATGCTTCCATTTTAATGCAAATTACTTCAGGGCGTTAAAAATAGAAACTTAAATTTGGTGCSSCAAARCTTATAGTCMATCCCTCCATTTTAATGTTGCTTACTTGTAAAGACAGAAAGATAGTAACAAAGACATTTGWTTTYAAAAAKRTTTTAAAAAATCCAAAGGAAAAATTGTAATTYTAAACTTTGGATAAATAGCAATTTAAATGTTATTGACATTCTAAAGAAGTGCTGTTCGTTGGAACGCAGATTATAAAGCTTGTCTTAWTGCTTTTGAAAAATCAAATAAAACGTATCGAGAACGTACTTAGGGTCACATAGAGAAAATTTGACCATACGTAGATTCTGTCTGTCTGTCTGAATTATGCGTTCATTTGTGAGATGTCTTGTTTTACGTTGTTTCTTAAACTTTATRAAAACATTTGATTGAAATACAACATGTTTGATTAATTCTATTAATAGACTAAGATTATGACATGATATTTGATGAAAAAAATATGCCAGTAACTCACGACTTTGCAAAGCGGCACAGTACCAGTGCAGTACAATTGGTAAAAATATACATATCGAATTATGCATCCAGTAGATTAAGTAAATGGTGAAAGGATGCTTCTATCATAGACTGATTCCATAAGTCGTAGTATTCCCTCCTTGATTTTTCAATTTGTCGCTCAAACGTCCGCCGGGGAGGAAAAAAAAAGAGCGACCTGACAGACTGATGGAATTAGTCTACTTTTATCATAGGTAAAAATAAATGCCTTGATAAAAATGAAAAAAATAAAAAATAAACAAATTATTTCAAAATATTTCATTGAGTGAGTTTATCTGGATTTTCCTATACAGACTGTCATCAGTGACCAAGACGACTTACGTCATGAGGTCACCAAGTCTCGATATCACAAGTCTCGATATAACTCTAACAGTAAAAGCATAAAATATCGTATTTCTTTCGCCGTACTAATTGGTAAAATAACACAAACGTCGTCAATTCCTACTTATCCCTGCTCTCAGACTGACAGTGATAACATTGAATATCGAAAACATATTAATTTAATAGTTCTGACTAGAAACCCACATCACGTGACATCCAGGTCAGTTATTTTTGTATCAAAGAAAAAGATACCATAGCATGCCGAGACACGCACTGAAGTATGATATGACAGAAAAATAATGACACTGGGTCATTTTTACTGCGTCAGTCTTCCTGTTTGCTTCGATGCTGTTCTATTTACTAAAATATGGCAGATAAAGTCAGTCATTCCTGCTTGGTGTCCAAGATTGCCATCACTCTATCGGTCGTCAGTTTGTTGTTGTGCTGTGGTGTGTTTTTAAGAACAGAGTTGATGCTAAACGAGCTGTATTCAAAAGACATCAAGCTTCCAGACAAGACTTCAAAACACGACATGAACGATGGCCATCAGTTCGATCATCATTCAGAGCGAACATTTGAGAAACAAGAAGCAAAGCAAACGAAAGAAGTTTTCACAAGAAAAGTAAGAGATGTTACAACTGTAGTCAACAGAACCATTAAAGATAATTTATTACCAAAGAAAATCCATCAAGTTCTTGGAAAAGCAGCAGCCAGTCTACAATCTGGCAAATACTGGATTCCCGTTCCAGGACCTCCCGGTCAACAAGGAAAACCTGGTCCAAGGGGACCGATAGGACGCATGGGTAAAACTGGGCGTGGAGGAAAACGAGGCCCACGTGGTTTTCCTGGGAAGATCGGGATTCCAGGTCCCAGAGGAATGCCTGGACCAAAGGGACCAAAGGGAGATCGTTGTCGTTGCACACAAAAAACAGCGAAACTGCAAGTGAACCTCCCTCCACAACTGACTTTGAACAATAGACCAATCTACAAAAGGATTGGTGATAGCATTCGTTTACCCACGTGTCACGTGACTGGATACCCAAAACCAAACATCACGTGGTCCAAAGCTATTGGATCTTTGTCAATAAATGATTATCTCGTCAAAGATGGACGGCTAACTATACTAAAAGCAAAGAAAGATGATTCAGGTATATATGTTTGCAAAGCTGAAAATCTTCTTGGTTCTGTTGAAGGATCTATTATGGTTATTGTTGTCGATCTGCCTGTGTTTGTTGTCAAGCCACCATCTTCCTATACAACACATAGAGGGGCAACCGTAGTGTTTAATTGCGACGCGAAAGGTGACCCTCAGCCTGTCATCGGTTGGAGAAAAGACAACGATGTCCTTCCTGTTGTCAGATATGAAGTGAGAGATGGCTCTTTGATTTTAAGGAACATTGAGAAAAGTGATTCGGGTGTGTTTGTGTGCACTGCTACGAGTGCTGGAATGTTTGATACAAAAACTAGATTGAAGTTGGCTGTAGATGAATATGCCAAAGATTGCAAAGCGCTTTATTACGGCGGCGAAAGACATAACGGCGTGTACACAGTTCAACCCGATAACCAGCCTGCATTTCAAGTCTACTGTGACATGACAACTGACGGTGGGGGTTGGACTGTGTTCCAAAGAAGACAAGATGGATCGGTCGATTTCTATCGCAATTGGCAGCAATACAAAACTGGTTTTGGAAACCTGAATGCCGAGTTTTGGTTGGGTAACGATTACATCCATCGACTTTCAACAAGAACAGCGTCGAGTCTGCGCGTTGAGGTAGAGGACTGGGACGGAACTAGAAAGTATGCCAAATATGGTAGTTTTAGTGTTGGTGATGAATCAGACAAGTACAGGCTGAGAGTTGGCTCGTATTCAGGTACTGCTGGAGACTCGTTAGCATATCATAACAACATGGCGTTTAGTACAAAAGATAGAGATAACGACAAGAGAAGTGGTGTTAACTGTGCTACATCATGGACCGGTGCCTGGTGGTATAATGATTGTCATTATTCTAATCTGAATGGAAAGTACCTTCGAAACAAGATGTCGACTAATGGAATTAATTGGTACCATTCATATAAGAATCGGCAAAGTTTTAAGAAATCTGAAATGAAAATGCGTCGTAGTGGATTCTAATGCATGAGTAGAACAGTAAGATAACGCTGAAGTTAATGCTCTTTGTTATTTGTACAGACACTTATCAACGATTTCTCATCACGTGTGTGTTATATATACTGTTTGTCAAGATGAGATCAGAGTCAGGTAGTAATGATGATAAATATATTGTGAAATACCAAGGAAGGATAAACTCACTTGTGAACTTTTCAATATCGATTGATAATCTTTGTGCTGTCTCATGTAAGTTCAATGAATACCTCGTATGTTGAATCTCATGTTATCATCTTTTTTATTTCATATCCTTTTAACATTACATTTCAATTTAAATGTAATTTTCAATTACAAAACAGCAATTTTCTCATATTAAAGTGCTACTTGCATGAAAGTGGTCTTATTCCAAAACTTCAAGCAATACAAATATATGACTCACATCTACTAAAAACGATTGAGGGAAAATATTTGTTTTGGAAGTTATCCCACATCAGAGAAATCTTGATTCAAAAGATGGAAGAACAAAAGGATTGAGTAAAAGACGTTATTTACTCTCTTTTTTTCAAATTATTAAGGAATCGTATCAATATCTTCTTTAAATATCCAGATGTTGCTTCATGATTTTCAGACACATATGGATAGGTCTATTTGATTTCAAGTCTTTTCTAATGTTTCGTAATTTTCGACCAAGTACCTTTAAAAAAGACATCACTTCAAAAAACTAAGAGAAATACAAAGAAAATGAATCAGACAACAAATATTTCCGGAATTACCCTGTTAAGATGCAAAATAGACAACTTTGTGGACCAGACACTTACTACCCGGCATATTACCGGAAATAGCACCTATTTTGCCAACAAACCACGTGCGCAAAGCATAATAATTATAATTATTATTATTTTATTTTTATATGGCGCTTATACAAATCTGCTCTAAGCGCTTTCAAATTACAAACAAGTACAATGACAGAGTCATGGTAGACTGCGAGCTTAAGATGGCGCCTCGTGGCTGATGAGTAGAAATGAGTTTTGCTATAATATAAATTGAAAATTCTAAAATTGGATTTAAGGAATAAAAGACGAAATTCCGTGTTTGATACTCTGATCAAAACACTTGGGATGTTGGGAGAGCACTCGAAAAGCTGTTTTGATCAGAGTATCAAACACGGAATTTCGTCTTTTATTTCTTTTCTAAAATTAAAAGAATACGAAAATTGTAAAGAATTCTGWCTTTTGATACGATATGAAACGATGAATTCTCCTYACATTGCAGTTGTCTGCAGCTTCTGTAGATTCTAAAACGTTTGATAGCTCTTCTTCTGGGATATCATCCCAGAGGACATCATAAATAGGCATTTCTTCGTTCATTGTTCTTGGAAATGAATGATAACAGCAACAAATGCAAACGGCGGGAAAAAAGAAATTTTTGACGCGCGCGAGCGTGTTTTGATACTGTAATCAAACATGGTTTTCGACCAATCACAGCGCGCGTAGTATCCTAAATATTTTAGAAAATTGGATTGTAACTACCTACGCTCAAGTTATGTCAGTAAGTTGTAAATATTTAGTTAGTATATATCATATTTTCTGTCTATAAAGGCGCTGTCAAGAAGATATTCCGTTTTTATCCCTTGCATACTTTTTCCCNCAGCCTGCATTTCAAGTCTACTGTGACATGACAACTGACGGTGGGGGTTGGACTGTGTTCCAAAGAAGACAAGATGGATCGGTCGATTTCTATCGCAATTGGCAGCAATACAAAACAGGTTTTGGAAACCTGAATGGCGAGTTTTGGTTGGGTAACGATTACATCCATCGACTGACAGCAAGAACAGCTTCAAGTCTGCGTGTTGAGGTAGAGGACTGGGACGGAACTAGGAAGTATGCCAAATATGGTAGTTTTAGTGTTGGTGATGAATCAGACAAGTACAGGTTGAGGGTTGGCTGGTATTCAGGTACTGCTGGGGACTCGTTGACTTCTAAGCACAATTACATGGCGTTTACTACAAAAGATAGAGATAATGACAAGCGGGGTAGTGGGAACTGTGCCACTGCAGCTAACGGCGCGTGGTGGTATGAAGATTGTCATCATTCTAATCTGAATGGAAAGTACCTTGGAAATAAAAAGTCGTGGGGAGGAATAAATTGGTATCATTTTCATTACAATAAACTAAGTTTTAAGAAATCGGAAATGAAAGTGCGTAATAGTGGATTCTAATGCATAAATAGCACAGTAAGATAACGCTGAAGTTACACACGTGTGTTAACTATATAATGTTTGTAAGGATGAGATTAGTGTCATTTAGTGAATAATGGTAATTATAAATTTACTGCAAACATTCCAAAATATTGTGCTTAAGACTATTAATATCTATGTGTTTCGGCTAATTGACAAAGAACAGACACACATAGATATCAGTTATAGATTTAATAGAATTTGAAAAACATTAATATTTAGTGCAGGGGAAGTAAGGCAAAAGTGTCGCTTCTAATGAAATGACTGGCAAAACAATGACTTTTCACGTTTAAGGTGTTTCGATCGTAATAAATAGCGCTTCGCGCGTAGTTTTAAACTCCTGAACTACGTCGCAAATTTCGATTCAATTGCACTCAAACTTTCGCAGAAGTCACAGTGATTATCGATAATTCTTGTTGATAAATTAATTTTCCAAAAAGCGAAGTCATTTGGATAAGCGATGCAAAATAAAAACACCTTCATTTTTCTTCTAAATTAATTTTCTCGAAACTCATCGCTGAGATTGTAATAAAATTTTCAGAATCATTTTTTAATAAGATAATTGATATACTGACGAAGTTTCAATAAAATCTTAACCTAAAATTTCGAGTTGTTAGAGCAAAATGATGTACATTTGCGACGTAGTTGGAGTTTAAAAATACGCGCGGAACGCTATTTATTACGATCGAAACACCTTAATATGACCGTGCCATTAGGTTTTAGCTTTGACGAGGCGGTCCTTTTGAACGTGGCAACATTTTTCAATTAGGTGTAGATCACATTTCCATGCATATATGACGTCATATAAATCACTATTTTCAAGATTATCACATACACCTGTTTTCAGGGACGTTGTCCATTCCACAGCTATACAAAAGTGAAAATTATGGGAAAATTTCTCTTAAAGGCAAATAATGAACTTCCGATCCTATGAATGATAATTGACACTATTTTTTTCGTATTAGTGAACTCACTGTATTTGATTCTTATTTAACTGATTATTGAGTAGAAACGAGTGATAGAAACACTAGTAGAGCGGATTTCGTATGAGTGGGACACCGTTACCGCACGGTTACCGCACAGTTAAAACCGGACCTGGCCTGCACAATTTTGGTGAGCCAATGGGACACTAGAATTTGGTTACAGTACGATTGCGGTCACAGTACAGTACCGTCCGTTTCCCACTCATACGAAATCCGCTCTAAGTAAATTCCACTAAAAACCGCCAGGTTATGCTACTTGTAATGTTTTTATTGCTGTTTTAGTTATCACTATTTAGTATTAAAAAATTGTAAAATGTTGCGCACTTTTAGTGTTTGGACTCTGCTAGAGTGAAGTCACTAAACCCGTGAAACAAAACTTGACTACTGAAGTGTGATAGACAGATATACAAGAAAACAATACGATTAGAGCGTACAAAGAAAGATTGCGAATTCCATAGGGTCTTGAAAATTCAAAACGGTTTTTACGTGTGTGACTATTAATCTGATTGGCCTGTTCTGCACATGCACATTTATTTATTTATTTATTTTTTGACTCGTCTTTGACTCGTTAAAGAAGAAAGATTTAATATGTATCTTTTCTCTTATTTTTTTATCATTTTCTGTTTATTTCTATTGTGGCAGTTTGCGGATTTCAAGTGCCCCGATTCTTGCCCGTGTTTTATTTAGAAGTAATGGTATTTGGGACTGTGGCTTTAGGTGCAACGTTCAAAAAACCCTTTCGAGCTACATTGTGTTGTTAGGACTTTTGCTCAGGTTGTGGTTGGTCAGAATTCTCCATGTTATACTGTTGTCGAACTGAAAGCATAATGGCAAGATTTCCAGTACATAATGATCTAAAGACATCCTCCTTTTTGTTTAGGGAGGTTATAGATGGGCCAATAATCTTTAGCTGTGCGGGTACATTAAGTGCTGAAGGAGGGATTTCTCTCTGGGAAAAAAGACAACAAAAGGGGTAAGTTGGATCATATCCGTGTTGATATTTCCGTCCGTCCGGAGTTCTGTTGTATCGTTGTGAAGAAGTTATTGAGTAAACGTTGTCATGTTTGAAATGAAGTCCGTTGACCATGACCCTTTAAGTACGAAGTACCTGGTATTGAGAATGATTAAATAACGTGACAGCGAAGAGTGGATGCCATGTTCTGTACCTCATGAAATACGTCATGATAGTCGAGGAGAACGTATGACGTCACCGACCATGTCGGTCTCTCCTTAGTTCACCAACAATACATTCATTGTTATCAAGTTCAGGTCCGAGGAACACAAAAAACGGTGTGCTCTCACATGACTTTGTAAAAGTACATTTTGTTGACCCTCCCTGAGAAAAATCTTAAATTTAAGCTCTCTACCCTTCGCAGTGGTTACTTTATTCAATGATTCCAAATTTTCAACTATTCTAAATGGAATATTTCACTCAAGAAAGCATAGTATTGTCTTACAAACTTATCAAGTAATGGACACATTAATATTTTAAAAATCATATAATATATAATCTATTTTTGATATATGTATAAAGATTACAAATATGTATACAGCCTTTTGCACAAATTATGAGACATTTTTATATATATAAATATACCTAACCAAATATCAAAAACACCCAAGAAATTATGGGATACCGTCGCTGTATTTTGTCTGTAACAACCTGATGCTAGGCAATCATGACAAAATATAATAGAGATATACCATAATTTCTGGGGTGTTTTTGATATTTGGTTAGGTATATTTATATATATAAAAATGTCTCATAATTTGTG